GAGAGAGAGAGAGAGAGAGAGAGAGAGAGAGAGAGACAGAGAGAGAGAACGATTTCATTACTCAGAGCGAAGAAGGCCCTGTCGTTATCATTTTGTTGTGATTATCAATACGCTTACCACACACCCATCAATTCCCAATTTTCTCCCAGCCATGCCGATGACTGACGCCAACCCGTTACATCCCTCCCTCCCTCCCTCCCTTCCCCCAACCCAATTCCCTTTTCATTGGCTCCCCCCACACCACCATCCCTCCAAATGTGTTCTGCTCAAATTCGGATTGTAACCCACGCCCTTGCATGTGTGTAGGGTGGAACTGGTCAATATATGCTCCAAAAAGGTTTTCGTCCCGCTTCTGCACTCCACCTTTGCCTTGTTACTTGCGCACCCTCCTCACCTACCTGCACATTCCTGCCGCAGACTCATATCTCTCTCGCACTTCATGTGAGCATCAAGCCACTGTTTAGTTTCATTAAAAAAACAGATAAGATGCACACACACACACGCAAAACAAAAATAACAGCAATAACAACAACGCTGCAGCTGTTTTACGACCCCCCTCTCCACCGCCTCTTGGTGCTTATCGTTTGGTTCCTCAGCATTTCAAAACCAAAAAAAAAATCGCCCATGGCCTCAATAATGGGCATTTCTTCTTCTCTCCTACCGCGATTCAGGGCTTCTTAATGCCCCGCGCGTCATACGTACAGTGACGTAGCACATCCACTGAAACCAACAAACAACTGCATTCATCATGCAGCACGCTTGCTCTCGCGCTTCACAGATTTTCATTACTTTCCTCTTTTTGGTTTGCATTTCGTGCCTTTCGCCCAGCGCCGATGCCAAACAACCGCAAGTGAGCCTTGGAGCTGATAGGAAGACCGCTGGTTGGCGATGTCTGACAGTCCCCCCCCCCCCTCAGAGCGTTGCCCGCTTGACGTGAGCAGACATGCACGAATAAAAAAACTCAAAAACACAAATATTAAAAAAAAACACGTTCAGCTTCACGATTGAGTTTATTTGGAGATTTATCCCCTTTGCGTTTTTTTTTCCATTGAAAAAAAAATAATAATCAAAAGGAAGGGAATGTTTTTTCCCACTCCTCACACCGCATGTTTTAACTCGGAAAGCAACGGGACCACGGAAACGTTTGGAAATACGGATATGCATACATGCAAACACACTAAAGCGCACACAGTTTTGTATGTATTTTGGCTAGCCGTGGTAGGCGGATGATTGTGATAGTAACGGAAACGGATGCCGGAGGATATATAAATATATATATAAATAGAGGTAGATATGTGGAGATAGACAAATGTATTTGTATATACGTATGTCGTTTTTCTTTTCTTTTTATTTGCTCCCCTTCTCCTTCTGTTTCTTCACTTCCCCGTGTATCGTCTCGGTGCAAGTCGACGGGTCGCACAACCGTCTCCACCACTACCATCAGTTTGGGATGTCGAGGCATCCCCCCCCCAACGCTCCCCCCCAAAAAAAGAGAGAGAAGGGTCTGTGGTGAAGAGGCGCAGTGAGGCACTGGCGTTCTCTGTCACGCACAACGGGCACCGTCCTCCCCACACCCCGCCGTCGCCGGCGGCCAATTTTTTTTTTTTTTTAAACAATACAAAAAAACGTGTTAGGGCCTAAAACAGTAATCAACGAAGAAAATAAAACAAAAAAAAGTAAAAAGTGAGGGGAACAACAACAACCACATCAACAATAATAATAAAAAACATGCATACACACACACGCAACAAACAAACAAACAGGGGTGATAACAAGTGGTGCCGTAAGAAAGAAAAGTTGTGCGTGTGTGTGTGTGCCAGCGTGTATGGGTGGATGGGCGTCATTTCGGGGTTAACGTGAGGAGATAGCGCAGAAGCAGGGATCAGGAAAACAGGCAAACAACCCCAACAACATCCAGGCAAACACAACGATGCACTTAGTTCATGTTGTATTCACTCACTTCTTGCAATTTGCTTTAGTCCTGCTGCAGTGTTGGGTTTGATCGCAATATCCCTTGATTCCCCTACACACCCTCCGTCTCGAACCTTATTATTATTTTCCCAATAAAATATCTACATACAAAAAAAAAAACCATTTTCTTAACCTTTTCTTTACGGCTAGAAAACAAATCATGTTTCGGGCACACCTTCAAATATGTGTTTATGTATAGTTGACCCCTCCCCTCCCCCTCCCAGGTTCACCCAATAACAACTACAACTATTCTCAAAATAATTTATTACAGCAATCAACACGCATTACATGGTGTTTGCCTTCTTTTTCCACTTTTATTTTTTCTTTTGTTCTCCTTTTCGCTTTTTTTTTCTATCGTGTTTTCTCTTTACTTGTGCCGCTTCCCTCTTGATCCCACCCCACAGCTCATATGCGCATATGCCCCGTAGATTTCTACCTTTTTGCTCATTCGAGTCCTCCCTCCTCCCTGTAGCGGCATGTTGGCCTTACCAACGCGAGGGTGGATACATGCATATACATATATGTGCGTAAGTAACGAACGGACCTCTTTTTTTTTCTCACACGACAACTTATGGTGTACCTCCGCCCCTTTGCGGGCAATTTATCAATAACAACCCCTTCCCTTATCCAATGTTTGATGATCTTTTTCTCCTTTTTTTGGGGCTGAATTACCAACGCGGTTTCTATTCTTTTCCTATGCTTGCAGTTTACCCTTCATCGGTGTTATATATATTGAGTGCTTTCCTTTTTTTTTTCTTCTTCACCTTCTGCGCTCCTCAACTGCCCTACTGCGGCTGCGTTGCAGCAAGCGTCATCTGTCCGTTTGGTAAATAGCAAAAAAAAGTCGACTGTGGCGCCATCACTGGAGAAGTTCCGGGGGGATACATCATCATCTGCGGCGCCGGGGCTGCGGCAGGTATCGTATCCGTCAAGGGACTCATTGGCGCCATCGTCGGCATGGAATTGCCTATCACAGAGTATGACAGCGGGGGTGCAAACACGGCCGGTCTTGATTCTGGACCAACAAGGAAGACAGGCGGGGCTCCAGTGTGCCCTGGCGGCACTGAAATAAACGGGGCGGCATAAAATGTCGGGGCTGCGGCACTCCCAGAGTACGGATCGGCAAGGACAGGTGCTCCTCCCAGCGGCGGCATAAAGGGGTACACAGGCGCGCTAGCTGAAAAGGTCTGCTCCAACGCCTTCTGCGACCCTGCGCCTGGTGTGTGCGGAGGCGGCGGCCCTTGTATGTAACTAGTGACACTATTACCCGCGCTGTTTATGCTGTTCTTGAGATTGCCATGGCGGCCGACCCCGCGTCGGGCAAGACGTTCGGTACGGTGAGCGGAGTCCTCAGCAACCTTCGCAAGCAGCGGTACGCCCTCACAATCCAAAAAAGGTGTACTAGTGTGCGTCTCTTTTGCCGCATTCGCGGCTGCCTCCATTGTTGTGTAGGTGATAAAGGCAACATTCCGCCTTTTGTTGGAAGACCGCTGGGCCGTGTCGTTATGGATGGAGACGTCCATTACGTCACCATAGCGCCCAAAGTGTTGAATAAGGTCTGCCTTCTTCACACTGAGTGGGATGTTCCGTACAAAGGTCTTGTTCGTGGGCGCGCCGGGGCGGTAAGCGGCGTGCGGCTTGGCTACGCGCACGGCGATCGTCTCCCCGTGAAAGATGGAATTATTCTTGTCATCTGCAGCCTTCGCGGCATCAGCGACCTCCTTAAATTTTACAAAAGCAATGCCGCGACTCTTCCCTGTGTGGATGTCCAGCATGACCTTTGCCGATTCAATCTCACCGTAGGGGCGAAAATGATTGTACAACTCCTTGTCCGTCACGCTGAAATGAAGACCCGATACGAACAAGTTGCTGCGTATTTCATCCTGCGGATGCTGCCTGGACTTGGAGCCTGCCGCATCCTTTTCAAAAGAATTCCCTCCAAAGGGTTCGTCCAGCTGCTGCGGTGGTTGCTGCGGTGGTTGCTGCGGTGACATCATACCACCCCCCCCCGCCGCCGCCGCCGGATCCAAGGAGGAGACTCCCGGTGACATCTCGCCAGCTGCGCTATCGTTGGCCACATGGTTCGTCCAACTGCTGTAGGAAATCAAAAAAACATCTGAATGTGTGCTACCGTTTCCCGTAGAGGCGGGGTACCCGTTCCGGGGCAGTTGCTGCTGGTGCTGTGAAGTGACGGACTCGTTATTGGCATTGTCGGCTTGCTGCCTGGGGGTCATTTCGTCGGGAACACAGCGGTGACCAGGCAAGGAGTCGAACTCCGACTGTGCGGTAAAAGAAGCAATGGGGACATCATCGTCATCGTTGCCGAGGTCGATGACAAATTTCATGTCACTCTCCATGTACAAACCACCGCCACCAGAGAAGAACTCGCCATCCGGGTCATTGTCCAGTTCTTCGTGATACAGTACTTCCTCCACCCTATCCGTATTCTTTCCTGATGTAGGTTCGGCATTCGCGTCGGCGATAATGCCGTTCTTCTCACTGCCCGCATCCATATTGCTGAAGAGCATACTCCCCTGTCGGTGCCCACTGTTCCTCGTAATATCTTCTTTGACTAGTACAGCAGCGGTCCTTTTATTGCACCCCATTTGCTTTGACTTGATATATATATATATATATTTTGTGTGTTACCTCTTTGACTCCCGCGCTAAACACGGTCTTTTCTTTTTTTACACTTTCCAACTCGAGTATTTCTGTAGCTGCTTCCTTCCTTCTCACTGTTGCTTCTTTGTACGTGTGTATAGTTTATCTCCACCTTTTTTCCCCTCCTTTGTTCTTCCCTCCTTTGTGCTCCTTTCACCCGGACCGTAGCGGTCCAGAGCAATGGGAGAGAAGTAGCGTGCATTGCAGAGTGGGAGACAGGCGGCGGGTTACTTTCACCCTCTGCCGTTTGTTTTGTTTTTGTGTCTTTGTTCGTATCCTCCGTCCGCTCCCTGCGGAAGCGGCAGCAGCAGGAGGAGTTGTGGCAGTGGTTGTGAAACACAAGCCAGCCAAGTTCTCGACATCACGGCTATGTTACATTTGTGGCGGAGAGAGGGGGAGGGGAGTGGCGCGGGAAGAAACGCCACAGCAGCAAGAGCAATTAAACAGGTAAAAACAAAATCAAGCAAAACGACAATAAACATCGCCCATGGTGTACCTACTGAATACATATCTCTCTCTCTCTCTCTATATATATATATATATATATATATGCGTGTGCCTTCCCGCGTTCCTCCAATTTCACTTCCTCCACCACTGGCGCCTTTCCGGTTCCCGCCACATAAATCTTTCCCTTTCGTTTTCTGCACTGTTGACGTTTCTTCCATTTCGGCCAAACATGCGGGTAAAAACAAACAAACCAAAACATTGCCTTAGCTTGATATACATCATTAACCCCGCCCCATCAAAAACATATTTTCCTTCTTTCCTTTGCCTTCTCCCTTTCCTTTTCCGTTCTCTTTGTTCCACATGCCTCTCCTTTAACACCCATTCGCTGCGCCCCGCTTCGCCCCGCCGGCGGACACCACCAAGAGCTCACCGGTGGTGCTCAGATCAGTTTTTGTTGTCGTGGCCGATGTGCGGGATACCGAAGGCTGGGGTATGGACATGCAGCGCATCTTCTCCAGCGTGATCGGCTTGTCCACGCTCAGCTCCACATAGTACTCGTTGAGGCAGTTGACAATCTCCTGCAACGTCACCATGGAGACGTCGATGGGGATGCTGTACTGCATGAATTTGTCCGCCAGCATGCGAGGGTGAATGGACTCCAGGTCGGTCACAAACTTTGCGGCGAGGAGGGCCGTCACAGGGATGGAGTTCTTCTGCATCGCGTTGTCACGCTGGGTGCGCGGCGAAATCGCAAGCGTGGACTGCCGCCTCTTAGGCAGCTTAGAGACCTGCTTGTTGAAGAACTTCGTCACAAGACGTACCATAGCGGGCGGCAGATCCCACCAGCGGGTGCGAGTGCCCTCAGCGTCAAACCCCATATCGTCATCATGCGAAGTAACACTGCCGCCAGAGGAATCCATGCTATTGAGGAACGACAGCTTCGAGATACTGATAAGCCGCGAGCCGGCACGCAACATGGGTGGGACGTAGTCTTCCTCGTGCTCCTGCAGAAAGCAAAAGCGGTCGGGCCGGGGTTCCGGCTGGGAAACGCTGCGGTACGCACGGCGCAGGCATGGGATGGAAAGCTGCACCACCCGGTGCCCATCATTTGCCGCTCCCTCGCCGTTGCTGTTCTCGTCGCAGTTGCCATTGCCACCTGCGGCCTCCTCCCCTGCCGCTCCCTCCGAGCGTCGGGCATCGGCATCGATCTGGAGCCTCATAGCCTCCTCAACAATCTCGCGGGCCTCCGCGGCGCCAAGTTTGTGACTCCGAATGCGCAGGCGGTACAAGTCCGCCGGTGGAAGAACGGGCAATTTCTCCAGCACTTGGTCATCGTTTTTGAAGTCCTCATCATCGTCGTCGTCCTCACCCGCTTCACTCTTCCGCCGCTCCCGAACCTCCTTAAGCGCCTCCGCGCCGTCGCCCTCCATTGCATTCAACAAACACTTCCAGTTGGTGATAATGTTCTGGTAGTCGGTGTCCTCCTCCTTCGCCCGCTTAGCGATCTCCACATCCGTCTTGTAGTTGTAGTACACGAGCTCAAGAAAGGCGTCGACGGAGATGGTGCCGTCAGAGCGCTTTCGTGGTCGCCGCAGGGAGATACGCTCAATGAGCTGCTCCTGCAGCACCGGGAAGGGCGTGTTAAGCACAAGGCTGCGCAGCAAGACCCACCCGGACCCGTCCCCGTCGAGATAGTTGAAGATATTCTTCATGCGAAAATAGTCATCAGCATAGTAGTTCGCAACCTCTTCATGGTTCCTGTCGCAGAGATCGTTGATAAGGCTGGAAACGTTAGCGCCAATGTGCGTCCCGTCCAGGTCAAACCGCACAACGTTCTTGTTCACGTGCAGCAGCTTGATGATGGGGTCAGCGCTGTACACCGTCACAAGCGGATTATCGCCCACATCCACGCTGCGGATGTACTGATGGTCCTGCAGCGTTTCCGCCAACTCAGCGACAAACTCGTCCGTTACTTGACAGCCACGCAGACTTACGCGGCGCAGGGAGCGGCTGCATAGCAACAGCGGCAGCAGCGCCATGCAGCCCTTCGACCCAAGAATAAACTTATTGCAGTCAAAGACACGGTGCTTGTCCCAGTCACGCGGGGCGTCGCTGAGGAGGGCGCCAAGGCTCTTCTGTGGCCTAATTCCCATCTCCTCGCAGACCTGCACGTACGCCGCTCGCGGGGATTTGCGGTCAAACCTCGAGAGCGTCGCGTCCACCTTCTGCATTGTCGTCATCTTCCCTTCACTTTAAACTTACCTATGCGCGCTTCTGCGCCTCAACTGAAAAAAGAAAAGTTGCAAAAGCACAGGCGCACCACTCTCATGCCACCGACACGCGCGCGTGTTCCCTCCACCGCCACCGCCATCACCCTCTCAAACCAGCAGCTGACAAGTATTAACAACATACAGCGACGGCGACAACATCACGGACTTCGGTGTCGCTTCATGTAGCGGGCCATCATGGCATCTACGGCAGCCTCCTCCTCGGATGCTGTTCCCAACGCGAGCCCCAGCCACCGCCGTGCCGTGCTTGGCTGCACCAACACCGCCGCACCCTTCCGCTGACTTTCACACTCAGCGGGGGAAAAGACGTAGTCTAGTAGATACTGCAGCAGGCGCGGACCAACAGGTGCGCCGCTCGCATTGCCGATAGACCCTTCCTGCCGCATCCACCGCTCCAACGCGCCCTTCCAGCCAGCACCACCAACATCATTGTCGCCGCCGACGGCAATGGCGGTCTCAGCT